CTGAATTCCACCTTAGAGCCTCGGTCAGTTTTCAGTTCTGCACAAAGGAACTCTGACTTGAACTGTGGGCTCCTCCTTTTTGTCCCCTTCTAAGTGTGCATCCTGCATTTAGCCTCAAACCTGAGGTCCAATCTCCTCGTCTGCTCCCTTCTCACTCCCTTTGCTCTTCTCACTACTCACTGCCATCCCCACTTATTTATTTTATTTCTCTCCTTTTAATACCGATGTGGAGGGTTGGGTGACTCCTACTCCTCATTTCATAGCACAGTATCATTACTGGTTCCTGCATGGCTCTTCCCTTTTTTCATTTTTAAAATTTTTTTAAGTTTATTTATTTTCAGAGAGACAGAGACAATGAGAGCAGGAAGGGGCAGAGACAGAGGGATAGAGACAGAGAATCCCAAGCAGGCTCCGTGCTGTCAGCACAGAGCCCCATGTGGGGCTTGAACTCACAAAGTGTGAGATCATGACCTGAGCCAAAATCAAGAGTCAGATGCCAGCCAGGCACCCCCATTGACTTTTATCTCCACAACTTGCTCCCATTCGCCTCCACCTTATAGATTTTAATGTGTTTTTATGAATGTTTTTGCAAAATGAGAAAGACTGTTTAAATTCTTGCTGTTTTTGCTATGCTTCTAAGACCCAATGATAGTGTGCTCCATACATTAATCGACCTGCTGTTTGTGCAGAAACCCCATTGAGCCATCCCTCCTCCCAGGTGACTATCCAAGTTGTCTCCAGCTTCCGCTCACTACAAATAATGTTGCAATAAACACCCCCTCTAAGTCCCTTGATAGACACAAGGAAAAATTTATTTGAGATACACACACACACACACACACACACACACACACACACACACACACACACACCTAGGAGCAGAATTGCTGAGGCACAGATAAGTATGTCCTTAATTTGGCCAACTAGTGCCAGAGTCTCTCTAGAAACGCTGCCACCCTGCCAGTATTTACCCAGCTTTGTACTTTTTGCCACTGCACCAGGCCTTTCATTCGGGCTAAGCAATACCGGGAGAAGTACCTCGGAGACTTTTACATAAAACCAAAGCTCAAGCCCTACCCACACAGTTTAGATTTGAATCTCTTAGGGTAGAGCCTGGGTGTTGTGTTTTTAAAAATCTTTCCAGGTGATTCTAATGCACAGCTGGGGCTGGGGATCTCTGGTATAACTCTTTATACCTCTTTATATTGTTTATACCTCTTAATATTGTTATAACTGTTTATTTGTTTTCATTTGCTTTTTTTTCTCTGATTAATCATGACCTTGAATATCTCTTTATATACTTATTAGCACTGGGGGTTTCTTCTTTAGTAAACTGTCTATTCTCCAGCATATTTACCTGACGAGAAAGTATGTTAAAGTGATGATCAGGTACAGGATTGAAAGGGAAAAAAATCATGGGAACTGAGCTACATAACAGCATGAAAAAAACCAATCTCACTCCCAACAGCCTCACTGATAGTGGAATTAGGAAATCTATCCTAGTTTGTGAGGCTTTGGTTTCATACATGCTCTCTGGACACCCCCAACTCCTTACCTAAGTGCTGCTTTCTGAATTACTACTCGGTCCCAACAAAATTAAGGGTGGGAGTCAAAGCAAGCAAGGACCCAGGCAGAGGAATCCCTCCATACCTCTATATCCTCAGGCTCTGCTCTTTTGGCCAGTGCTCTGCCCTGGCCAAGTGGCCAGGGCCAGCAGCTGGGAGATGTGTCTTGCAACTATTCCACTGGAAGCTCTTCTGTCATCACTGGCTGGCAGTCAATGGGAGACAGTTACTATTCCGGCTCAGACATGTTACAGAGCTCTGTAAGTAGCTGCCAGGCCGGCTTTGCAGCAAAGAACTCTTGTCTGCAAGTGAGCTGGCGACGGCAAGGCTCATCTCTTCATGCGTATTTCCTACCAGCTAAGCCTGACTCTGCAAGTGAGCTGGCAACAGGCTCAGATCTTCACACGTATTTCCTTCCAACTAAGCCTGACAGCTTACCTAGCTGGGGCTCTGAATGTGCACAACATCTGAGATTGAGTCAGGAACTCGCTCAAAGATTCAGGGTGCATATTCATTATGCTGCCTCCAGGCGGTGCAAGTAAACAAGAGTCACTTCTTTGTTCTCCCCTCATCCTGGAGACTGCTGTGCTAAAGGCTTGGACTCTGTTAGCCAACAATGCCAAGAAATTGCAAGAGTCTATAATAATGTTTGAGACCTGGTCCCAAAGGCCCTAAATGACTTCAACATTTTAAACCAACACTTAAAAATTGATATACTCACAATTAACACAATATGACTCATGTAATCACATATCAATTATAGTTAATGTGAGATGTGGCTGCATTTTAATATGTTTGATAGGAGGTGGGGTGGGAACTCCAAAAGCACGAACGCCCTTGGGTAAGAAGGTCTTAAAATGGTCCTAGAAAACCTGTGAGCCCAAGAAGGGATCAAAATGACACTTAAGCACCACATTTTCTGTATCTTTGGAACTCAACTTGTCAACCTTAGAAATACTATACAACTTTAGAATACAACTTTATAACATATAATAACTTTATAATACACGTTAGAAATACTATAGAATGCATTGCTGCTTGCAAGCCAGCAGCAGATCTCATCCTTGGCTGCATATTAGAACCGCCTGAAGAGCTTTGAAAACTTCAGCTGTTGGGGTGGCACCCCACCCCAGTTACATGAGCGTCTCTGGAGGTGGTACTCAGGGAGTCCGTGCATTTTAAATTGCCAGGTGATTTCTTTTTTTTTTTTTTTTAATTATTTTTTTTCAACGTTTAATTTATTTTTGGGACAGAGAGAGACAGAGCATGAATGGGGGAGGGGCAGAGAGAGAGGGAGACACAGAATCGGAAACAGGCCCCAGGCTCTGAGCCATCAGCCCAGAGCCTGACGCGAGGCTCGAACTCACGGACCGCGAGATCGTGACCTGGCTGAAGTCGGACGCTTAACCGACTGCGCCACCCAGGCGCCCCGATTGCCAGGTGATTTCAATGAGCATGTGAGAGTGAGAACTGGTCTGGAGAGTGCCTTCACCAGTCTCTCTTCACTTAATCTGACCAAATAAGAGATGAAGGCTCTCAGGGAGACAAAGGCCAAACAGACCTTTTTAACAAAGTTAAGCTTTGTTTCAAGAGAGGAGTTATTTTTCTGAAATCTCTAAAGCAGTTTGCTGGATCTAGATACACAGCTAGAATCTTAGTTGCTGTGAATACCAGAAGCGTTAGGGCAAATTTTTAATTCTTTTAATGTTTATTTATTTTTGAGAGAGAGAGAGTGAGCAGGAGAGCGACAGAGACAGAGGGACACAGAATCTGAAGCAGGCTCCAGGCTCTGAGCTGTGGGCACAGAGGCTGAAGGGGGCTCAAACTCATGAACCATGAGATCATGACCTGAGCTGAAGTTGGATGCTTACCCAAATGAGCCACCCAGGCGCCCCAATTTTGGATACAGTGTTTTAACTCAGGATTTTTTTTTTTAAGTTTGGAAATTTACAACTCCAAATTCGCCATGGTAATTGTAAGAACATGTCAAGACTTAAGCAAACATGGGGGCGCCTGGGTGGTGCAGTCGGTTAAGCATCCGACTTCAGCCAGGTCACCATCTCGCGGTCCGTGAGTTCGAGCCTCGCGTCAGGCTCTGGGCTGATGGCTCAGAGCCTGTTTCCGACTCTGTGTCTCCCTCTCTCTCTGCCCCTCCCCCGTTCATGCTCTGTCTCTCTCTGTCCCAAAAATAAATAAAAAACGTTGAAAAAACAAATTAAAAAAAAAAGACTTAAGCAAGCATGGACCTGAAGCCACCAGTTCCACAGATTCACAGGGACTGAGAAATGCTTTTCTCAGCTTCAGAAGTCTGGCCCCTCTGTCCCCGTCTTCAATCTGCACTTTGGACTTAAGTAAAATAGAAATTTCTCACCACTGAGTCTTTTTAACAGGAGTGTGGAATGGAAGGTTGGGGGAGCGGGGGAGGAAGCAAACATTCCTCCACTGAGGCTTACATCTAAAATCACCCGCAGAAGAACAACCAAATTCATGCATCATGGTTATACTGTTTGCAGTTTTTCACCTAAATAAATACAGGTTTGAGAAAAAGGATTCTGTCCCAATTATAACTGATTTAAATAAACTATTTTGTACCACATTCATGAGTGAATTTCAGAATCTTGCATTTCAACCCCCTAAAACCAAATTCAGTAACTGTTTTCATTCCTCAAATTAATGAGTTTGTAAATCTCTTCCTTGTTCAATATTTTTTTTGAAAAAGGAAAATCAAAGTAATTCGAATCGATTGTGAATCTGCCAAGCAATTCTTGCCAGTTATGAATATCAGCCTGTTTTGTTCAGCATTTAGCTGTAGCAAGAATTTCTCCTTCATTAGTCATTTCCATTCACCAAACAAATTTAATCAAAATGAAAAGAGATAAAACTTGTCCAGACTTTTAAGAACATCTTATTTTCTGAATCAGATTTTCTCTTAAGGTTTATATCAAAAAGCTCTAATTAATGACTATTTTCTTATTTTGTGTTTAAGGCAAAAGTTAAAATTATAGAGCTTTCATACTCATAAAAAACAATTGGTGTTAAAGCCATAAAATCTTAAGTCTATAGTACATCCTCAGTAAGTACATATTTGGTTGTCTGATAGACTGTAATTTATTTCCAGCATGTTCTAAATGCAACTTATACAAAACAAATCACCCAGAGCTATTTCCAGCACACAGAGATATTTGAACACAGCACAAATAATGGGAGAATGTGATTTAAAATGAATGAATAGGCTTTGTCTCAAGTGGGCAGGTAGGTTCTAAAAGCTGGAGTTGAATTTTTGGTCTTCCTTTGGATCTGGAATTACGAACATGCTCTATTTTCTGCCTCACTGCTCTGGCTTCCTGTCCCCTAAATTGTTCTCATTCCAGTAAACTACATGGAGGAAATCTTGCTTTGTCTGAATTACCTCTTTTAACAATTTGCTGGATGAGAGCTCCAGGACAGGCTTTCAGCTGTGACCTGCTTTCGAAGGCTGATGTGCTCAGGAAGCCTGGAAGACACAAGTCCACAGTCATTCTGCTCCATGGGACACCAGGGGACCCAGGGACCCAAATCCTAGCAGTCCAAGTAGGGACACACACCGTAAGTCTGATATCCTCCTAAACATACATGAAATGTAGTTTTTGTTCCACTGGAACATTTTCTCCTTTTGTTTTCTGTGTTAATAACAACACTTCTTTTCTGCTACAGCTCAGAATTGCTTCCTGCTAAAGAGAATCAAAACTTTTTACTGGCGATTTGTTCAGTTTCTGATCACACATCCTTTGTTTTATTGCCAAGTTCTTTCTGAGATAAAATTCTGAAGTCATTTTCAGAAATCAGAGGTTATAGTTGATACTTGCTCTTATTACAATGCTTTTTTGTCATAAACTTTACACCAATCGTAGAATCATGTATTTTAAATAAGTGATTATTACACAGATATAATTCTCTGTGATTCTGACCATATACCTAACTGGTAGGTATGAATTATTTCTCTCAAAATGATGGGGTTTTGGAGTGGAGCAGGCCTGAGATGACAGCCAAGAAAGAATTCTTGAGAGGCCTTTGGTGCAAAAAGATGATTTCAGGGGCGCCTGGGTGGCTCAGTCGGCTAAGCGTTTGACTTCAGCTCAGGTCATGATCTCATGGTTCTTGGGTTCGAGCCCTGCATTGGGCTCTGTGCTGACAGCTCAGAGCCTGGAGCCTGCTTTGGATTCTGTGTCTGCCTCTCTCTCTGCCCCTCCCCTACTCATGCTCTCTCTCAAAAATAAACATTAAAAAAAAATTTTTTTTTTAAAAGGTAATTTTATTAAAGCACAGGGGCAGGACCAGCAGGCAGAAACAGCTGCACTGGGGTTGTAAAGAAAGACAGGTTATAAACTATGGAGTTGGAATAGAGACAAAAGGGAGGCTCCAAAATGACTTTCATATGCTAAAGAGGACTCAGTACAGACCTGAGGCCTTGCTATTGTCAAGCTAAGGTTGTCTTCCCCCAAGTAACGGATTAATATTAGAACAGTTGGGGGTTCCCAGAGATGTGTTATACTCTGTATTTGCCCCAAGTATTTGGCAGTGTGTTTGGCCAAGTATTTGGCCAGGTTATAAAGAAATACAATTTTGCCTGCCATCTCCTTCTTGCCTTTGTTCCTCACATCACTTTGGGGGGGGGGGGGTGAGGTTGGGGCTCCAGGAAACTGAGTCTCTAGGTTTCTGGAGATCAAGCTCTTGTTAGATATTTGTAACGTGCTGGAGACTCCGGTCCTGCAAGACTGTGATCTCCTATCAGTTAACCATTTGTTTTTCCCTTTCCTTTGTTCCTGGGCAGCCACGAGAGCCTGAGGACCATCACACATATCCCCCCAGAGATGTAGTAATAAACAAAACCAACAAAGATCCCTGACCTGCAGTTTCTGAGTGGGAGTGTGGGAGGGGTAGGGGGAGTGCTTTCTGGGTATCCTCTTGCCTTATGCTCCCTCAGCACAAATGCACTGAAAACAAGTCTGCCTCAGTTCACAATCGGCTTAGTAGTGACTGAACTATTAAAAAACTGTATGCTTTCCTGACAAGGGCGCATAAAGCAAGTGGAGAGGCCGCAAATATCCTCCCACCCCTACCCCACCGCTGGGTGGGATAGGTGTGATATTCCTTGGCCACTCCTGGCTGCCCAAGAAGAAAAGGGGGGAAACAAATGGTTAACTGATAGAGCTCATAGTCCTGCAGGACCTGAGTCTCCATCTATTTACAAATATCTTAGTAAATCACAAGAAAAAGGTGATCTTATCAATAGCCTAATCTACAGAAACCTATAGACTCTTTCCTGGAGTCCCAACATCACCCCTCCATAGTGATGTCGGAAACAAAGGCAGAAGGAAATGGCAGACAGAACTCAATTTCCCTAGAACCTGCAGCCCATTGACACATCCTTGAGGCTAGCAGAGTAAAACTTGCTATTCCAGGAACTCCCTAAATCTTAATGCTGATGCTTTGCTAGAGGGAAAACAACCTTAGCTTGACAACAGCTAGGCCTCCAGGATCCAGGGAATCTTCTTTAGCATATGGAAATCTCACTGAAAACTTCCCCTGGACTTTACCCCCTCCAACCCATAGTATATAACCAGTCTCCTCTCATGGTCCCTGGGCAGCTCGTCCTGCGGATCCTGTCCCCCTGCTTTAATAAAATCACCTTTCCGCACCAAAGACGTCTTTAAGAATTCTTTCTTGACCATCGGCTCTGGACCCCACGAACCCCACTATCACCCCAAAAACCTCATTTCCCTCTTATATTCAGTGATTGTCACAGAAAACAGGAAAAATGTGATTTAGCATTTTTTATGCCTGCTGTTTACAGTCTGTCCTCTCCC